AAAACACCGAAATCAATAAACCACACACGATCACCGAACTCAAGAAACCATAAAACAATAAGAATGACCACAAATAATTAGCAAATGGAAAGTAATTTTCCAATATTATACCGAAAATTAATTGCTATTATTTAATTTAAATTATGTAGGGTGCAAGCAAATGCTTAATTGAATTTAAATGTTATGCTTTTAAATCGAATCAAAGCAGTTATGGCTTTCTATTTTCCAGTAAATTAACAAATAACTCTCCCCAGAAACATGAGCTGCTTCTAAGTTGATAAACAGCCTTATCATGCACTTGAGAATCAAAGAATGAAACTCGATACTTTTGAACCTCTAAAACCAGCTTTTTTTTCTCCTTTTTCTTTTCATTTCTTTGCTTAGATATGTTTCTTATTAGATACATACATGTGTATAGTGATGAATAACAATATATTATAGAAAATATTCGCTTTGATAGTGGATACAATTGAGAATTAGAAATCAACGTTTACAAGATTTAAGCAAAATGGCAATGAAATACGTGCATACGAATAAGCAGAATGAATTTTATAAATTTCCATAGCCGTACACAAGAGGCAGGCAGGCATAAAATAAAAGATAAGTAGTGACTGGTGTGTAGATTTGGTTTTTTCAAAACAAATCAATTTTTAAATGCTCTTAAAAGAGAATTTATGCGCGCAAGAAGTTTTCATTTTTTTCCATTCATAAACTTAATTTCAGAATATAAAAACTAATTCGCCTTGAACAATCTTGTTTCCTCTCAAAATATATAAATTATATAAAATCAATGTTGCTGACTACTGACTTCGACTACACATTATTACAAATAAAAAGAACTTGTAGTAAAGTTGGCGTTGATGTTGAGTGGGTTTCGGCTATTTAGCGCTTTTCCAGACAATTTGTCAATTATTTAATTTTAATCTAAGAATTGAGTCACTTTAATATTGAATTATTAATGGTTTTTATAAATTTCAATTATTAACGCCTCTACAAAATTTGAATTTTAAACAGTTTTGTAAAAATTTAAAATTTTAACGGTTTGTCCAATGTTAGCAAAGAGAACAGAGTCCGCTAGAAACAAAAAAATTTCAAAATTTTCGCTCGGTATTATTTTAAAATTTCAAAATAAGAAAGTCCGTTACTTTTTATCTTTTTTTAAACCAGCTGTTTTTTAAAGCATAAACATTTAAGGAATGCAATTTCATCACAGTGATTATCTTAATCATAAAAACTAGTAGGAATGATCACTAAAATTACAAATTACTCGAAAAATAATAATTCACAACGAATTTTTTTAAAAATAAGAACTTCGATTTTCGAAGAATAAGAACTTCAAAAATTCGAATTTCGAATATTAAGAACTCAAAAATTTCTGTTTGCTAGCATTGGGTATGGTTTGAAATATTTCCCTCACTTTTCAACAAACCCAACAAACCACATAATTCTTTGTTTTCAATTAGTAAAATCAACTTTAATTGACTTTACTCAGCTATTGCAACCATCCTAATCATCTCATTTTTATCTCGACTAAACCATTAATCAAGACTAAAACCCATGATGAAGGTAAATGCTCTGATAACTGAGATTTTCAATGTTAAAGTCACTGATGCAGATAATCAGTCAAAACGAGAATCCACTTGTGAGAAAAAAACTCAGCTAAAAACATGTTTAACGCTGTTCTACAATTGATGTATATGATTCGTACGTTGCTTGGGCTGTACAGCTGAATTAATAAATATTTAATTACCCCCGCATGCTGCAAAAAAGCGACAAAACCATTCAAACAACATTTTTATTCTTTTTTTTGTTGTAGCTTGCTAGACTTTGTGACTAGAGAGGAACGTTTAGATTGCGCAAACTTAACATATTCAGTCCATGGAATGAAACTACGTTCAAGAACATTGGGCAATTTAAAATTTATAATTTTTTTTTGTATTTTGTTTGGATTTGAGATTTTTTTTTGCCAGCCTGCCAGCCACCAATTCAATATCTTTTTATGCTCTATTCAATTATTTTATTTTTTTTTGAAAATATTTCTGAGAAAAGCACAATTTTTTCCCATGTCGATGCAAACAGCACCAGATTTTTCTATTGTAGTGTCTATATCCAAGAAGGAATGTGAGATTATGTGAATGTGACATAAATAAATCTTTAACCTTATTGTTGGAGCACGTCTATTGCCAATATAGGTGTACACACACAACATGATTCATTCTCAGGTAAAAAAATAACCTGGAAAGTGACGTGAAATTCTTGAAGAAATGGGAAAGAGGAAGATGAAATAAAATTAAATCTCGTCATGAAGTCTTGAAAGGAAGTTTCTAATTTTTTAAGACAATTACCGGAGAGTTATACCTAGAAGTTTAGAGACGAGACTTGAGAAAAAAAAGATCCATTAAGTGAGAGTCATGCACGCAATGTCGAGAGTGAATAGACAATAATTTTAATTTAAAGACAAAAGAGGGATGGATGGATGAAAGACAGAAACATGTTAATAGAAAGTGGCTTAATGGATGTGTTTTTTTAATTCTTTTAGTGCTCTCGCTCACTCTTTTGTGTTTATTGACTCAGGATTCAATTATTGAGGAAATTGAAGCCCATTTTCTCTTTCTCTTTAAGTATTCGTAACACAGTGTATACATACAATGTAGCCCCGGTTGTAATTAAGATCCGCAATTTATCAGACAAGCATCAGGTAGTAGTTTTTTTTTTATGTGACCAAACTCAATAAAATGTGAGACAATGTCTCTCGAGAGTGATAAATGAAATTGTCTTTTTAGAGAATGAACCGTTAACAAAAATATTAAGTGGATTGCTTGCGGGCAACATAAATGACTCTCTAAAATAAACTACGTACTTTCAAAGTTATTACTAATTTTTTTTAAGCGCAATTCAGCAAATATTTGAGCCTTTTTGTTGATTGACAAGCTAATCTGTTGGGCAACAAACGTGGGACACTGATAATTAAAACTTTTTAGTTTGAAAGTATTAAATTTTGTGCCAGCACAAAGTCATTTGACAAGAAAGACGCAATTTTTTCGGCTTTTCAAATTGCGTCTTTTTAAATACACGAATGTGAATTTGCTTTTCTCCATGTAAGGATTACGTTTTAATTAATTTTTAATTTGTTGTTATACAACTGAATCTTACAGTTTCTGTAAGAAGAAAATGTTCCAGTGAAAGAGAATTGGAATTTTCGAAGAAATTTGTTTTCTGTCTTACTTTGTAGTTTTTAGATTTTTGAGCGTGATATTTGAGGCTTGAATAAGGTGAATTTGATTAAGTTGTAATTTAGCTTGAATTTTAAGACTTAACCAAAAATTGGACTAGATTCTTTTGATTTAAATTTTAAAATGTCGTTACTATTTAATCAAAACCTCTCAAAACTGATTTCAAGCGTATAGTCAATTTCACCTGCCACGAGACAAAGAAAACTAATTAAAATCGCATTCTATGACTTGCAATTCTCGAATTTCGCGATCCAGTGAAGTAATAAGCTAAAATTTAAATTTAAGCGCTAAGAGCCAATGGCCAAAAGCAACCTAATTACTTTTTTTGCTCTTTTTAACTGTTTTGAAATGTTATACATATTAAAAGATTGTAGATCCACAAAAGTTAAATGAAACAATGGAGAAGTAGAGGCAAGAAAGTTTGCTTTTTATTAAAAATTTATTATTTCAAATATATAGTACCTTATACAATGTGAGAATTGTTTTTCTTTTCTTTTCCTCTACAATAATTTTAATTTCTTGTTTTTCATTCAGATTATTAAATGAAATGAATCGTTTTTAATGCTAGCATTTTCGTGTATTTTTCAGTGCTGCTACTAGTTGTACTTTTTCTTCTTTCTGTAATGTTAAAAATAGATATTCAATCTTTTTTCTTCTCTTTTTTTTCATTTATTTGAAGAAAAAAAAAAGGCAAGTATAAGAATGAAAGTGTCTATACAGACGATCAAGAAGAGGAAAAAAGTTCAATTCCGCATCGTAGATTTTTTTGAAGTCGTGTGATATTTTAGAGTGAATTTTTAATTGCATAATTGCTCTAGTTTGTCTTATTGTCCTTAAATTCTGAAATTGTTTTGACACTTTTTTGTGGGATTTATTTTGTTTTTAATCCTACAATTGCAATGAATTTGAGGTTATGATTTTTAGGGCGCGTAAATTTTCAAGCTAATGATCATTCACCTGTATAATTTTCTGAATTGACAATTCAAATGTTTATTTTATTCTAGAACTCAAAACTAGGGTAGTAAATTTTGAAATAGTTTTACAAATGGACTAGATTTTGAGTTTTGTAAAAAAAATCGAGCTAGATTTTTGAAGATAAACTGATACATGTACTAGATTATCTTACATTTAGTACTAGCTTTTTAGATTATGTACTAGATCTACAAAAAATGTGAACTAGATTAATCAATTATGGACCAGAACATTTAAATCAATCTTATTTTAGAGTATAAAACTAGATTTATAACTGATTTCATGATTCAGTACTAGAATACTGAGCATTTAGTCTTTTATGTTTTAAAAATAGTAAATCTAGCTCTAGAATGCCTCCAAAATTGCATCTTTGTCTTCAAAACGAAGCATTTAAGAAAAAAATATTTCTCAAAATTTCAATTGAAAAATCGTCAACAGGTTCTTCTTTAAGATCTCCTTAAAAATCTTGAATCTTAAGCCATCAATTTTTCATCATATTTGTACCCGTCATGCCCGACAGCATTCTACTTCACCCAAAAGTAAACATTCACTCATATTTTTGGGACACATAAAATAAACTTTAATCGTACGTGTTTCTTACAATATTTAGGTATTTCTTTTTTATTTGTTTGACTTTTCTTCTCTTTCTCGTTTTAATATGACAAAAAAACAACTCTATGTATATATAATGTCATTAAACAAACGAGTCAGGTAATATTTTTTTTCTTCTCTGTCTTTCTTTCATTTTCTTTTTCTTATACGATACACACAATATAATAAACAATACATATGCAGCAAAGCATGGGAGCAAGATACTATTGCTTGCAGTCGCAGCAGCGAGAAAACAAGTTTCTTCCAAGGAATTAAGGTGTGTGAGTAGAAATTCACATAAGAAATAAGTTCTTTAATTGGTCGTATTCATCAATCATGTACAGGGAGACGTAGATTTATAGATTGATGATAGATTGAGGATAGCTTTGCAGAGCCGGTACATGATGAAGTTTATCGGCTCTGCTATCCATGTTTTCACAAGAGAGGTGGAACCTTTACCAATTTTGATGATCCCTAACATTAAGATCTGACTAGAAATTCTAGTTTAGGAGCCAAAACCCCCTGCTTCACCACTGGATGCCATATTGAGTCACAGACAAAAAATAGTTGAGATTTTTATCACAAAAATATTTTTTAAGGACAAGAATTAATGTTTACATAGGATCGAGTATCAGCGGGAGTAGATTAAGACGACTCATCACTTTACAATGGTCCACCCTTCATGTTTTTATATTATTTTACATTTTCCCTCTCACACTCAATTTCTTATATTTATTTACTTATGTGTATATGTGAATAAGCATCATGTTTATGTGGCTTTCGATTATTAATTAACATAAAATATTTTGTTTAAAATAAAATGTAGTCCTACCTGATCGATATCGCTCAATTAAAATCCCGTTTAATCTCTATTCCTTATTTTTTTTAAAAAAATAATTTTCACTTAAAAAAATTCCCAAATTTATTTTATGGGCTATTTTTATTATTATCCAACTTCTATGTGTTGTTTATATTCTCACAAATGCATTATTTTTTTTTTCTTTTCTTATATCTTTTATTTTTTGAAATAATATTTTACTTTATCTCATGATAAATTGTAAGGCACTAAAATTCACTTTAATTATTATCTTATTTTATCATTTATTATTTGCAATAATATCGGTTCAGAAATGATAAACACAGAAAATCTCAAAGAAATCAAAAAAATCCGTACCGCGTAGACTTATGCTACATTATTCTCTCAAATATGTTTGAAGACTAACTGAGCGAATGGATCGAGACTTACGTTTAGTGGTGTTAAGTCTCTTCAATTTGGATAAATCTTCAAACGGCTTTTTGAAATTTATAATAATATTTTGTTATGCAAAAACAAGTTAAACCACTTTAACGAATTTATAAAATTTGAATTCTTCGAGAAGGGGAAAATCAACTATGTCGCTCACGTTTTTAATTTGAAACTTCGTTGGAAAATTGAATTTTCTTTATTTTCCTTAGTTACAGTGAATTAAGCTAGTGTTTTACAATAGAAAGTCTCTAGTAACCTCAAAACGACCATCATCAATCAGCTCCAACTGCACATCATCAAAAGTTTCTTTGAAAATCCACAGAAATCATAAAAATCTCGTTTGTTTATATTCATGCTGTAAAAATTTAATTAAATTACAATGGATAAAAAGACTAATTTAGCAAGTAAGGATGTGGAGTCATCGAAAAATCAACCAGACTTTAGTGTCCTATTCATGAAAATGCTGGAAGATAAAAAACAAGACAATAGTAAAGATGTAAGTAGAAACATCCAGTCTGGATTATTAAAATGCTATTAATTAACTTAAGCTCTTCCATTCATTCCAGGTCAGAGAAGCGAGAATCAAGAATATCAATAGATATCTTAAAAGTACGCAAAATTACCGTACATTAGGCTTGATATCACTTGCTGATTTTTTGGAGCTTCATACAGTCGTGTCTGCATCATTTACAACTGAAAAAGAATGTCAGGAATTAGAATGGATAGAGACAATATTAAGATTTATCGATAATAAAAGTGAAGAAGCTGAAAAGTGCTTCCCAATTCTTACAAAATTGATAATAATCACAGCTCAACATCCAGACATGCATAAAATAGTCCAAAGCAAATATGTTAGTAAAATAATTGATAGCATCACGACCAATCAACTTTCTATTCCATCATTACAATGTTTAGCTGTATGCATGAGAGAAAATAATGGACCAAGTGGAATTTACAAGAATAAAATTTATGATTTTTGTGTAGCTTCAGTTGACATTATGGATCCTGTAATTAATAATCTTACTGGCAAATGTCTGCACTTGCTGCAACAAACGAGAGGTGGAAGTATTGGAGGACAAGCTTACAAGAAAAATTGGGCTGAATATCATACAAAATTGCTTTATTCAATGGAAGAATTGTTCATTAATCTTCTCCAAACTGGTGACAGCGTCTCGTCAGGCAAATCTGAACGTTTGAAGCTACCGGATTGTGCTGAAAATAAGAAGAATGTGCCATTAATGTACTCGCATCAAGAACGATTTGTGCGATTCCAAAATATTTGCATATTCTTAAATGTGAGCTTAGTTCAGCCATTTCCAGTTGCTAAATCGATTCTACTCGACTGGATTGTATCTTTTATAGACAAAAGTACAACAACAAATCAGGCACAAATTAACAAAAAGGATGGAGATCGCATTTTGCCGTTTATTCTTCACATTGAAGTTCAGAAATGTCTATTCAGTGTCTTATCGGCAGCAATGAAGGCAGTTGGACGGAATATTTTGATCCATTCAAAAGATATTTGTGATGTGTTCTGGAAATCATTAAAAAGCACTAATGTCCCATACGATGAGTTTAAGATTAGTGAGATATCGTAAGTAGTTTCGTTAATCCTCAGATTAATTTAAATCCGCTAAGCTAATCCTGAGATTTGTTTTAATCTGACGCTTTAAAATTCAAATTCTGAAATTCATTTAATTTTGAAAACAATTTATAAATTAATCTCACAACTGTCATTTCAGGTCTTTAAGATGCACAATCTACGACGTCATCGCTGAATTCATGAGAATATCACCAAACAATAATTTCATCTCCAAAAACACTGAAAATTTCATAAAGGAAGCGTTTTTGGACATCACACCGATTCAAAGTGAAATTCTCTTGACATTGCCAGGTGCAAGTAGCGAGTCCAACAAAAAGAAGAAGAAAAATCCAGAAGTAAAGAAAACATTGTCTGGAAAAACGTTCGATAATTGCATTAAAATTCATCAACAGCTGTGCATTAAAAGTTTGAACTTCCTGAATAATCTACTAATATCTAATGGTGCTGGAATGAAGCCAGTTCTATTCAAAATATTAACTGATAAAGTTCTGATAGTCACTTACAAATTTTTATCAAGAGATTTGACACAACAAGATTTATATCATTCAAGTGACTGTCGATTAGGAATTTTGGAACTAGTTTACAATATTTTAATAAATCCAGCGATTCGCAATGCAACGCCGTCGAGTTTCATGGTTGAACTTTTAAAGAAATTTAAGGACAATGATAAAAGTGACAAATTAAGGAACAAATCTAATGAAATGCTTAGAACTGTTGAGGCAATTTTACATAATCGAAAAGATCCAATTCACTTCCCATCGGACTTAAAAGATTTCCGTGATTCATGGCTATTTAATGAGAAAACTGTCAAGTCATTTAATGAAATTCATAATGAAAGAATCGGTCAAATTTTTGAAGTTGACAGCATAGATGAGACTGAAGACGTCTCATTCTTCCAAAATATTATTTCTAGGAAAAATTCAGACAGCAGTTTGTTGATGGAAGTTGATCAGGTAGCTGAGAATCAAGCAGAAGTAAGTAATGGCAAGGAAAAGTCACCAGAACCTGAAATTTTAGAAGACAGCAGTTCAAATGACAAGAGTGAAGAGGAAGTGAGTCCACAAATTGTTGCGAGAGGAAATCCAGTCAAAAAGCAGCCAGCCACAGCGATAAAGCAACAAGTCAAAGCCAAAAGACCTTCAGATTCACCTAAAGCTGAGGAAATTCCGACAAAAATTGCAAAAGAGTCTGTAAAGGAACCCGAAATAATTGACATCAAGGAGAAAATCGATGGAGACGATGACGAAATTGTAAATTCTTATTTAGCTGACTTTTGTGATGAATGAGAATATGAAATGTCAGTAATTTAATTAATATTGAATACAAAATGCATTTTTTAATTCAGAGAGTACTAGTCATTAAAATAACATACATATTTCAGGGAATGAGACGTTATGCTCGAACTTTCTAGACGTTCTAGGAAATGCGAGGAGTCTAGATATCTCAGCTTGGTTTGAATCGGTAAAATGGATGTAATTCTTCACAAACTTAGGTCTGTTGCCATAAAATTTAACGAATGAGCTTTTAGCACAATGAAAAAAGCTTCTTGAGAGCTTTCAAAGCTCAAGTTCAACTCTTAATCCGATAAACATTGATTAATCCAGGATTAATTGTTCTATTGATCTTATAGCAAGCATCACAATGGAATGTTAATTTCTCGCCTGTTACGAACATTCTTTTCTTCTTCCGGATTGTGATGTGCCTATTCTTTTACCTTGATGGCTGCAAATTAATTAAATAAAGCAGAATCATTCTAACTTTCGCATGTTGAATTCTCAGTTTATTCAAATTTAATTATATAAATGAGTTGATTAATTCGACCTTCACGTTCACTCTAGTAATACATAAATCACTTGATAGCTTTTTTGACTTAGACACTCTACCAAGATCAAATATTCTAAATTGTGTAAATAGGGATATAAAAAGCTGGACTGTTTTAATTGGATCAAAGATGATGGAATTTAGGTTAATTAAATAAAATTTCTTGGATTGCGGGATGAACATTTTTATAAAAGTGGATGTTGAGCTGAACAGATTAAAAATTGATGCAGCAAAGGTTAAAGGCTGTTTGAGATTCAAAATTTAACGTTTTTTAAAAATATGAAATTGAACCTGATTTAAAGGTTTTTAAGAATTTGAATTTAAACCTTATTTTAAAAAATTACAGAAGTCCTCGTGTTATTGATCGAGGGACTTAAGCGCATTTTTGTGTTAGCGATCAGTATTTTATTATAATTAATGATTTGTTGCAATGAATTTCCACATAAAAAAGTTTATCATTCAACGGTTTTTTGAAATTCAAACAAGTTTCAAAAATGCGTTAAAAACTAGAATGTTTCTAACGGTTTTTTGTAAAATTTAAAATTAAAACGAGGATTTTAGGATTTACAAAATTTGAAGCATGCAATAAAAATGTTTCTAGATCAAGTGACAGCTCCATTCAAGCGAAAGACCTCCTTTTAATTCATCCATGATCCTCATAAAACACCCAAAATAATATTTGAAGGACTGCATACTCACTCATTCTGCTCTAATTCCCCTTCCAAATTCAATAATATCCATCGACCTTCCCAAATACATTATTAATAAGAATAAGAACCACATTCACACATCATCTAATTTTCATTATCCTATATCTTCGTGTTACTTTGTCAGTCAACTGAAACTACATAATAGATTACTCATTCATTGTTTACTATATAACTTGCAACCTCATGTCCTAATTTTTTTTCTGCATATTCTAGCTTCATTTCACTTAACTTATGGGAAATTCTTTGGATGACTTTCGGAAAATTTTCAGCAAAAAATCGAAATTTTATTAATTTTTCCCATCAGAGGCACTGATTTTATGACTCTTATCGATGTAAAAATATAAAATGTACACTCCTTTTGATATCATATACTTCTAATCGCTGTATTAATTAAGTTATTTGGATTCTTTTGTCAATAACTCGATGACAGAAATCGGAATTTTCAATTTTCATCATCCAAAGAATCGAAAATTAGAGAAAACTATTGAAATTAACATTGAATAACTTTTACTGAGTTATAGAACAGACAAAAATCTTTAATTAGGTTGCTTTTTTGTGTGCATTAAGCCAGTAATTAATGAAATATTTCAATTCTTTGAAAAATTTCCTTGTGTCATCGAGTTATAAAGAAGCTTTTTTTTTGTCTTAATCCGTGAAAAAATACAAAATTTTCAAACATATTTTTTCAATTTTTCACTTAATTTGGGTGAGTTGTAACATTTCAATAGATCACTTGTAAAGAATTAATTATGCTTAATGATCTACGAAAGTTCTGGCTTATTATTCCTTCACAGTAATATGAAATTAAAGAAAACATTTTATTGACACAAAACTCATTGACATTGGATTATGAAAGCTCATTTTTTTCAAATTCCACTCATCCAAAGAATTGCCCTTATACGTTTTCTTTCCATCCGAGTCTCGTTCTTCTCTCTACTTTTCTTTTTCATTTGCACTAGTTCCTCGTAACCCCAAAAATCATCAAACTCATGAACATCGTGAACTCGTAAAATATACTTGAAAAAGAAAAAAATATACACTGTCGAAAAAGAATAAGTTTTGGGTCTTATTGAATTGATTTTTGGATTCACATCGGATGTTAATATTTTTATTACCGACTTTATTGATTTATATGAATTATTCTGATAAACATTTTTGGTTTGTAGGGTGTTTAAACATGTTTTTTAAAATGCAGCTATTCAAAAATGGTTGAAAATTAATTCAAATCTACCAAATTCATTGAAGGAGCTTTATTATTTGAAAATTATTAAGCATTTGAAAATATTACAAACCTTATCAAAACTTAAAATAAGCTGATTTGTTAAAAATGTACTAGATTGCAGCCAATTGCACTAAAATGGACTAGATTTCAGACGCCAGTAAAAACTATGGACTAGATTGTAGCCAATAGTACCAAAAATGAACTAGATTTTAAACACCAGTAATAATTATGGACTAGATTGTAGCCATTAGTACTAAATATGGACAAGATTTCAATCACCAGTATTAAAAATGGACTAGATTACATCCAATAGTACCAAAAATGGACTAGATTTGAGACACCAGTAATAATTATGGACTAGATTGGATCAACTAGTTCAAAATATGGACTAGATTTTAGACACCAGTAATAATTATGGACTAGATTGGATCCATTAGTACAAAATATGGACTAGATTGTAGAAATTAATACTAATTATGGACTAAATTGCGTCCAACCAGTAAAACAAGGCTTTTGAATACTCTTTAAAACCCAATATTAATATACGCACCTTAAATAAAAAAAAAAGTAACAAAACCAGTGTGAATGTAACGAGCACACATAGATTGACGCTTTTAAATTGTAGAATAAACTTTTTGTTATTAATTATCAAACTTTTTTGCTTGATGTTAATTTCTGATAATGCTTAAAATAAACGCAGAGTACAGAGAACATCAGATAAATATTCTAATTTGAGTGATTTGGGTCAAATGAAGACTTTAAAGAAGGAAAATATACCAAAAAAAGTTTCAAGGATTTTTGTCTTTACGTAAACTTAATAAATTTTCCCGAAAAAGAAAAGTCGGTATTAGAATGATAATCACGATAAATAATCAAAGCAGTGAGTACGGAAAATCCTTGAACAATTTTTTTCTCTGCCATTTGAAGGTTCTTTTTTGTATGGAAGTTAGTAACAGCCAGTAAATTGCTATTGCCTCAGTTGAGCATCATTTAGACTCTTTTTTTGGTCGCGGAACAAAGCATTCTTCTTGTCATAATAAATCTAAATTCAGATGACTACTTAGCACTCGTCATTAGCATCAAAAGTATTTTTTTTAACGTGTATAATTTTTTTCGGAAGATAAATGAAGCAAGTTTGTGTTCTTTTATTGAAGGCTGAATGGCTGAATGCATGAAAGATTTTTGATGGTTTTTACTTATAAGGGAAGTCGTTACAGTTCTTTTAAAGAGAAAGATAAGTGTTTACAACCCTTTACAGTTGCATAACCCAAGATATAGTAAAACAAGCCTTAATTTTTATAGTCACGATTTAAACAAATCGAGTTGCATTTTCAGAACAGCCAAAAAGCACCTAAATCCAAATAAACAATCCCTGAGATCAACCTGGAACTTTTTAGCACAAAATGTGGACAAAAGGGGAGTGAAATGACTCAAAGAATTAAGTTTGAATCTCAAAAGTCCGTTAAATGAATAATTAGAACGTATTTACCTCTCCAGGCAGAAATACAGCAACTGAATAGCTTTATGAACTACAAATTAACCGTAATTTAAATACATCGAAATAAAACAGCATTAAGTCATGTCACAATAACTTATATCAACTTATATCTGTTATAAATTTGCAAAGGGGATGTTCATTTATGACGTCCGAAATTAACGGTCATTTTTCAAAAAAGAACAGTGAATTTCGAGGAATTTATATTGTTCTTTTCTATGAGACCCCCCCCCCTTGGATGTCATAAGTGAACGGCCCAAAATCATCATCAGTCAGCAATCAGCGTGTGTTCAGCATTGCTGTGTAGCGAGTAGTAATCAGAAATTAGCAAAACAAATAGTTAAACATGCAGAGTATAATCAATTTTATTATATACAAATATGCTGATACTGTGCATTGCTTTGCCTGTACAGCAACATATGTGTAAATATTAGAGCAAAATAAACATTTTATTTCATTTTCCGCGTGTAGATAGCGAAAAAAAAAAAGAGAAGAGATGAAAATGCCGAGAATGTCAAGGACAAAATTGGCGTCATGATGTAAAAATAAGAAAGTAAATTGTTCAAATATTTATTGAGATAAATGAAGACTTGCAAGTCTTATCATCTTTTTATTCAAATATCCACAAAAATATCTAATTTTTGCCATCCGTTCGAAGTCATTCCGCTAATAAAAACGAGTTGAATCATTCATTATTTAAGCAGTTGTGAGAATCTCATAAAGACGTCTCGACAATTTTCATTGCAATTCTGTGGATGAACTTTTTGATGTCATGTCTTTCGTTTGACTTTACTCGTATCATACAATAGTTTATCGTCTTTATTTTTGAGAACTCAGACTGGATGTGCCTTTTGTGTACACAATTTTTTATTTGATTCTTTTGAATATTTTTCGAGGTTTTTTGACTTATTAATATTTTATTGAAGGTCGTTGCTGTATGATTTGTCAAGATAATTGGGTAAGAATGAAGGCATCGACGTCCTTGGATTTTTAATGAGTTCTTCTACTGCTTTACAAAAATTTGTGTATGGAACTACTGATTTTATTTGATTTTTTTTAAAATTCTATTCTGAAAATTTAACAGATTTTAAGATTCA